AAAAAAAAAAAAAAAAAAATTCCCGATAACTGCGCTAAATGAGATTCTTAAAAATACCGCAAGTGCGTTTGGTGTGTAGAGTTTTCTTTCATTTTTACGGAAATAGCCCCTATTTAAATATGGTGTAATGAATTTGCGGTGAAACATTGGGTGGGATATTAGAATCTTAATATAGTTTAGGAACTTGACAACAAAACAGTATGCGTTAAAATACGGGCGGGGGGGGGGGTGTTTGGGGGTTGGGTGGGTAGGGGGGGGTCAATGCCAATTGGGTTTTTTATAAAGTGAGTTAGCCGAATGCACGATTTGTCAAGTAACTTTTATAGATGAGAAGTTCACGCAATGCCGCCACCATTGTTTGGCGGGCTATAACTCGTGTAATAATAATTTTAATTAAATGTTCTACGAAAATAACAACAACAAAAAATAATAATTAAAATGATAAAACAACTTATGTCACTTTATTGTGGCAGCCCAGTGGTTCTCGAACTATTTCGATTCTCGGCGTTGAAAAACCCCCCAGCTTTTTCAAAGACCCCCCAATGTCAAAATGTACACTGTTAAACGATCCATAAATTTGTTGTTGTTTTTTGTAGAGTACCATCTAATTACCATTTGTAGGGGCCTCTATAAAACAAAACAAAACAAGTTTGAAGGGAGTAAATGCTTCACGCCAGGTCAGCCAGATACCTCGTACTGCACCCGGTCAGCCATATATCGCGTACGGCCAGGTCAGCTAGCTATCGCGTACGGCCAGGTCAGCTAGATATCGCGTACGGCCAGGTCAGCTAGCTATCGCGTACGGCCAGGTCGGCTAGATATCGCGTACTGCACCAGGTCAGCTAGATGTCGCGTACTGCACCAGGTCAGCTAGATGTCGCGTACTGCACCAGGTCAGCTAGATACCTCGTACTGCACCAGGTCAGCTAGATATCTCGTACTGCGCCAGGTCAGCTAGATATCGCGTACGGCGCCAGGTCAGCTAGATATCGCGTACTACACCAGGTCAGCTAGATCTCGCGTACTGCGCCAGGTCAGCTGGATCTCGCATAATATCACTGAAGAATGAAAATGGAAAGAACGTTATCAGACATGCGT